AAGAAAATGGAAACTACTAGGGGAAGGCTTTCGGGGGCTCGGGCCGTTTACGGTTATGACTGGTTTGGTATCTAGGTTGGAGGCTTCGGATTTTGATTCAGGTGTCTCGAAATCGGGTCAACATGACATCTATTCTTCCCTTTAAATACCCATGGGGGCCTTCATCTGAGAAATACCAACCGTGTAGAGCTTTGCCTTTTTTGGGTCGGTGAAGATACTTTTAGGCGGATGGTGCGCGCAGTAGCTTTGCACGATGCTGAGAATTTTCCCCTGAGTTTGCGAAGGGACGGCAACAATGGGGGATAGCTGCGATCTTACCTACCATCCAAAGCCAAATGGTTCGCATTTCGCACATTTCCTGTATTCTTCGCTTAGCCCCTGCCAGTGTAGTGCGTTCGTATCGGGTTCGAGATCCCAGGCCTGTTTGCTGCATCGCTGTCGGTGCCTTGCACGACATCTTCAACCAGCTCTGGATGCTGCGGCCGGGCCGGGGGAAGTTCACTTTCTCGTTACCCTCCTTAAACAAATACGGAAAGCCAAAAATCATGCGCTAAGAAGCCTCAAAATTTCATGGCTTCTGTAGCGCCGATACAAAAACACCCGTACACGCAGTCGCAGTTTGACATCTTCATTTGATGGCTCATGAGGGTAAGGCTTCTTGGTAAGGTGGGCTAAGAACTCCCAAGCCTGTTCAGCTTTATCCGAAAGTGTGACAGTTTGGTAAGGCTCCAATTTCACAATGTGCGGCTTGAAACAACCATTTCCTGGCTAAACTAGTGTGGAATGGAACACAGAGTTGTTTTGCTGGATATAGGTCGGCCTGCATACGTACCCTGATTCACTTGTGGGGTTTGTACACGCTGCAGGATATTCTAGACTAGACCATTGACGTGACACTTCTCTGTACGGGCTTTAGAACAGGGATTTGTCGTTAAGCTCGCTTACGTCTCATATACGCCATGAGAGTCGGTTTTTTTGTTCTAATTTTGTGCCACACACGCATCTGCTAGCAAGGCAAGCCCCTTCGTGGGCTTCATTGCAGTATGCGAGAGAGAGAAAAAGAAGGAAGATTTAGCCAGACGAAAAAGAGACGGAAAACACAGGGGGCTGTCTTTCTTCAGATATGCACCTCCATGAACTTTCCACTCAAGAATTCTCAATTCAAAAGTCTTGCTGCCAAACCGTGCCGGCTGGTACCGGGCAGCAATCGGGGCATCAGCAGTCTTTTTCCGGGATTCTACAGGCTTTTTTTAGGGATGTTATAACAAGGATAGCGTTTGGGGGAAAGTGTTTGTAGTTTGGTGCTCATGATTGTCTGCTTATGGCCGTGACGGTGTTCTCAGTATGTGCATCAAGTAAGCGATGCAGCTGTTTTTTTGATCCAGCTCACCTTGAAGTTTCATTCCATGTCAGGGTCAGGAGCAGAGCCATTTCATGTCAACAGCAGGAGCACAGCCAAAACATCAGCCATTGTTTGGTGTCAGCCTGTAGAGAAGCGCAGGGAGAGAGCTAACGAAGCACAGCACTCTTGCTGATAGTCCGGCATCATGACCTTCTGCCTCCAGGAGGACTTGCGAAATGGTGGTTTGGTGTTCCAGCAAGTACAAGTACTGGAGGACGAGTTGACCGAGGAAAAGTCCTGGGGCCATCGCAGGGATCGAGGAAAGTTGATCTTCAGGCCCTCTGGGATTGTTGTGGGCAAGTTTCTTCGGTTGACCTACGACCCAAATCTTCCGGGCGAGGCGCACAGATCTGGATGGCAAGCCCGCTACAGGGTTTTGCCCTTTGGAAACCTTCAAATCTATGATTTCGTCGACCTGAGACCTGAGGAAGCAGACTTCAGGGACATGCCCGTATCCAAGAAGGAGCGCCGAGGCTTATTGCCGTTGTGTCGCTTGTCCGTCGGCTCTGGCAGCGAGTCGAGCCGATTGGAGTGTGCAAAGGAGATCGCGGAGACTGAATTTTGCGCCAGTATCTCGGCTGTCTTTCCTCTCTGGTGATTCTAGTTTTCCCAGTAGCTGCAACAAGTAGAAAGGAGTCGAAAGTTCGATTCTTGCCATGCCTTTACAGTCGGCGCAGGTGTTTTCCACACCCGCAACAGCCTTAATACCATTTTGGGCGGGCCTTCGTTCGTTCCAAGTGGAGCTGGTGTGAAACGACGAAAATGTACCTTGGTTCTGATTAAGTTTGGGATATCTCGTAGAGTCACATGCGGTTTGCGCAGTCTGCCATCTGAATCTGCCCACGAAGCCCAATAAGGCCCCAGTCCCAGAGGCCGTCTATCTACATCCGTCTATGGATCTCTACCATTCTGCTGGCATCTTCGTGCATGTTCTTTGCTGCATTGCTGATATATCTCATGTCCTTATATTTGCTACTTGCAACTGTCTGCGACATTATCTCGGTCTCTGCCGACCTATGTTGAACTTTCGATTTATCTCTGTGTGTGCCTGTCTGTTGTTTTATTAGCTAGCCAAGCCAGCTAACTCTCCGCTGGATATTGCCAGCTTGGATGCAACATCATGCCTAACTTAGACCCGCAACCATGCATGCATCAACGTCATCCAGGTACGATTCTGGATTACTTTGGGACTTCCAAGACCTCAGCCGGGATGTCGTCAGGCAGCACATCCCAGGTGCAGCTGAGATCACAGCACCGTTCCGTATCTCTTCCGCACTTGAAATGAGGCTTCCCCCACATCATGGCCCTAAAATGAGGCACTAGATTCACTAGATTGCTTTCAGGGGATTGAAGAGTCTGGGATACTTTCCAGAATCAGCGACATGTTCGACAGTCATGCTGTTGATGCTGGGCTGTTCTCCGGAGTGGTGTGTTTCAAATATCAAGGCATTGGCTTCCTGGCCCAAATGTCCGCCTCCAACGATGGATGAGCCTCATACAGATCACACAAGCTTACCAGCAGAAGTGGAGCCTTCGGAGGCATCGGATGAGTTTGACGACGTGGACTCAGAGCTGGGGTCCGAGACTGGTTCGTGCCTGAGGGATGAGGCCAACTTCCTGCTGCCGGATTCACGGCTACTGCATCCGCATCGTTTCAACCTCATCAACTCCTTGATCGGTGCCAACAAAGTTGATGCCTTTCTTGACGGCCTGTCAGACGAAGAAGATGCTGATGATTTGTTTGGCTTCGGCCATGGCCGGCTGTCACTTCGACGGTCACGTTTGGACGAAAACTCTCCCTTGTGCTGCTATCACTTGCAGGGGCGCTGCAAGTTTGGCGATAGGTGTGATTTTTCGCACAAGGATGATCGCATGGGGCCTTGCCAATTTGGGGCTGGGTGCTGGCTGGGACACGGCAAGCTTGGGGCAGGAATCCGGCATGCCAGTCTCGGGCCTTTGTCTGGCGGTGCAGATGCGGTGCGGAAGGAGCAACCTTGCACAATGCAGTAAAACGCTATTGTGCTTTGGGGTCCAAATACTGACTGACGGAATGCTTACGTGTTTCTTTTGGCGTAGCAGCAGTTGTAGATTGGTTGTGGGTGCAGCCATATAATGATGACGACTCATTTGGACCCTTCGGGTATTGGGCTTTCAGCAGAATCTCGGGGAGACTTGCTGATTCCGAGCACTGCCTGTGCTAGGTGCTTTAAAAAAGAGACCGGAGATCTTGCTGCCTGGGCGTGCTCTCGATTCGGCTTGGTTACTTGCACTGAACAAAAGTACACGCAACAGAAGGTCTATAGGGCAATTCTGAGTGGGGAAAACAACAAGGCAGGCAGCTACCTAATCACAGTTCCATAAGCTTGATACATTCAATTCAGTCAAGTTTCGAGCCCCTTGAAACTTCAAATGGCAGGCAACGCGGAGCGTTGGTGAGGCCAAGTCTGGATGTTTGTCTGGGATTTTGGCATTTGGACAAGGATATTTTGAGGGAATGGGGTGTGGAGATTTGGATTAGTGGGTGCTTAAGGATTGGCAATTGGCGAAGGATTGGTACAGTCTGTTGGCTTAGGCTGCGCAAGTCCTAGGCACATGTAGTTATACAGGGCATGTTCAAGACCGGTTGTCCGTTCCTACTATTTAAATCCAACCTCTCGCCCCAACTCGAAATTTTTGTACCCCTCAAAACTATGACTCGCAGCCTGGCAGCCGGAATGTTCATCCTCGTCACACCAGCACCCTAGGATTTTCAGGTTGTGTGACTGTCTATCACAGTGCGAGCTAACCCGACCCTACCACGATCCTCATTAGGGGCCCAGAGTTTCCTAGTCCTTCATAGGGGCTGCAGACCTTACTGTTGATATGCAGCTTGGGTTGCTGGGTTTCTTCGGACATGTCAGAAATGAGAATTCAGTACCTGTGGTTTGGGTCGTTTCGCTGTATGCGCGTTGGGGGGTGTGCATTTGTTGAGTCATGGCACCCTACACTATCCCCAAACTTGAACGCCTCATATTGATCTGGAAGCCCTACATCCTCAGCCTTGGTCCCCAAGCCTTTATGAACGCCTCAAATGACATAGTAGTTTCCTTTTCATGTTCCATGTGCTTGTCGTATCCCTAAACCCTACTTAGTCCCTGTACAACACTACGTATAGTAGTTACCTTCTTGTTGCGCGTTTGATTTTCCACTTCATTTTCAAGTTTTCCTGAACACTAACTTCTAAACAACACCGGCAAGTATCGAACCAAGCACAATTCTTGTATGACCCTCTAACGTGGCAAACGGTCAGGTGGTCTCCGCTGATGCCTGGGCGCCGTCACTTGGCGTACATAGACTACCTGAGTCTGGCTAGCAGGGAATCATGGAATGAAACTGAACATGCAAACTATCATTCCTAGGTACAGGAAAAAAGGTACCCTTCTTATGCAGGGTTGCTGGGTTATTGGGGGTTATAAAGGGCTTACTACAAGGGTCCATTCTTTACTGTATTTTTGCGGGTTACATAGGGACTTCTACAGGGTCCATTCCTTACTGTACTATTGCGGTATATAAGGATTTCTACAGGGTCCCTTCCTTCCTGTAGCATCATGTAGGTATCCAGAAGTAGGCTACAGGAAGCACAGCGAATACATGATGGGCTCCTTGAGTTGCTGTTCTAACACGGAAAGCTGCCTATATCTACATCCATGAAAGTACAAGTACAAGGGGTTGCAGGGAGTTGTCGGGATCCCGTGCACAGCGCATGTGGATGCAGTATTGCTCTGTGTTTGTCTTCACCAAATCGAGGCTCAGTTCGGGGGTCCTGGAGGGGCTGCTGTAGGACGGCTAGGTTTTTAACCCTGAAGACACACAAGCCAGACATGGGGTAATATGTGGACTACCTATAGGTATATAGGGCGTGTAGACGGACTGTCTAAGTTAGCGATATTAGGGTCCCTTCTAGACAAATGTCTCCTCCTACTTCATAGTAGTTGGTAGTCTTATAGGTCAGCCGCAGACACATTCTTGCATCTTCACATCAGCGGACTTTCTGCGAACAATTTGATGAGGCATGCAGATGTCAAGTAAAGTTGTCCGCTTACATTGGAAGCAATAGACGTATATGCCAGATCTAGGTTCGGCGTTTCTTGTGAAGCTTCGGTTCAGGTTCGAGGGTTGACCATGGGAGCAGCATGATTTGTGGATTCAGTTTTGCCTTCAGTCCTGTGTTTACGGGACCAGTTAAAGGTTCAGGGCAGAGTGAATGGTCCCGGGCTGCAGGTCGGATCAATGCCAATCGTTTTTGCTGCAATTCAGAGTCTACTGCTTGGACTTGCGACAGGGGTTCACAGGTTAAGGCCTGCAAAACTCTAGCCTGACCTTGCTACGTAGTAGCACCTGCAACAGGACGTACTAAACGTCAAAACAGCTCTTTAGCCGCTAGACTCTGTATCAGAATTACGCCCCTGGGTTCCCAAAAGTTTTTGTTGTAGGGTCCCATAAACTGCATTTTCATCATCTGGATGTGATTCAGGTTTCTTCACTCGCCAAACAAGCAATGACAGAGCCACCCTTGGATGTGGGAGCTTCAAAAGCCATACCGGCTTGTAGGCCTTACATCTTGAATCTGCGGATGGGGAAACTTTTTCTGCCACTCATATTGGGGCCTGCAATAAATCTCTATATCCTTCGACCTTCCATTCATACCAGGGTCCCTATTGCACCGTATTTCAAATGAACTTTTTCAGTCCCCCTAGAATGTAATCCATATCCTTGATCTACAACCAGGCTTCGAGTGCCCAAGATCCTGGGCCTTGACGTGATAGTCACGAAGACGGCCCCTGGAGGTGTCGCAGATTTAGGGCAGCTTGACCTGTAGACAAGAGGTCTTTATCTATCTATTTATATATTATATATGTATGTTTTTATATATATATATGTCTTTCTGAGCTGCTATAACAGGGGCTATAAGGCATGCGCATGCGATGTCTTGAAGTGCTTCAAGTTTGGTTTCAGGCTCAAAAGTGTACGGTTGAGAGCGAGATTCCAAGTGTTTGCAGTACTGGCTTGCTAGTCTGAAAGCTGGGGCTTCAAGCTTTCTCTCCTAGGCCCCAGGCGGAAATCTCCAAGTCAAACTGCCAAACCTGCATCACAACTGAAAATTGCCCGTCAGGTAAGACCTTCTGCCTTCTGCTACTAGACCCCTCCAGACCCTGGGCCTGTTCGAGAATGCCTAGACCATAGAGTCCCTTCGTGGGGCTTTCAGAATCACCCTATGGTGCGGATATGTATATATATATATACANNATATATATATATGTCCCCAGGGCGCCTGTGGGTATTCTTGTTTGCGAACCTGCTAAGCCTACACCATCCTACACCCTAGCCCCCGAATTGCCGAAACCCCAAGCCGCGTGCTGTGCTCCCGTTTAGAGCAACTCCCGCAAATTGGACGACCCATAGTGTGGAGAATCTCGACAGGAGGTGGAGGACCATGGCCATGGCTCCTCGAGGTTTGGGGGTTTGGAAGTTGAGTTTGGGGCTCCGGGTTTAGGATATGCCAAGCCCCTTTACCTCTAAGACTTCCCTTGCTGGGAATGCAGACAATTTTTTCTCCTCATACATCGGTACTAGCTTGGGATTCTGGCAGGTGTTGATGTGCGGGGGGGGGGGGGGGGNNTGCGGTGCTTAGTTGTTCGTAGTTCGTTATAGCCGCTTGGCTTTCAATTTTTCGACCTCTGCAGCTCTGCACCCATGGATGCCAGGGCAATATCAACGCAAGTTTACTACTAGCAGTCATACTAGTGATGCCAAAAGTAGCCATAGTAGCAGAAGAATGACCATGCCAGTAGGAGGAAAACTCGCAAACCAAAGCTTCTGTCATGTCCTCAACAATTTTACGTGGAATAGATTTCCAAGCATCGCCGGGTCAGAAGAAAGATTTGCAAGAACTACCGGCAGCTGGGGGCAGATGGATATTGCATCATTTCGGCATACGGCTTTGTTTGCTGTTGTGCGCTTGGCTATTCAGCCCCGAAGAGGCCACAAGAGCCCTAAGCTTCGTCTGCCTGGATGCTAACAGAAAACTGAACCCCAAGTGCAGCTAAACATGTCTTCAGCCTCCTGTAGGATTGACGTGCAAACATGGGAAAGCCCATAGTTAGCCACGCCTGGTTTAATCAACCAAGCTAGAAGCAGGACAATTGCCCTCAAAGCTTTCCCCTGACAGTCGCAATGGGCTCGCGGGATGGGCTTGTAGGAGAGGTTGGGGTTGCAGGATTGGCTTCACGTATCAACCGCTCATCCCTATAAACCGTGGAATCGTGCAATTCTATAGGTTTTGCCAGACTGATATTTGATCGTGCAACAATTTCATGAGAATCCTTCTTGTACTGCAGCAGACACAACAAGTAAGCCAAGAAATGCACACGTTCATTCGCAGAGCAGAAGCATGAGGCTGCAGGTGTAGGGATCCGTGTCTCACTTGCAGTTGCAACTCTTGCTGCGCAAGCTCCAGCAAGAACTACAGTAACTCGAATTCGGAAGCCCAGCACATACCTTGAAGCCAGCGTCCTTCAGGAATCGGAGTCCACTACCACCTCCTGAGCATGCTCACCGAAACCCCTGATGAATGGTAACCCTGAACCCCTAAACCCTCTAAGTCAAAAACCGTGTGCACTTCTTGCATCCAAGAACTCTGCAGGTGAACCGGTTCCCAGCTCTCGGGCTGCGCGCGCCGAGCGACGCGGCGACGAAGCTGCAGGCAAATTGGTCGTGGCTTAGAACTTGTTATTAAAAAATCAGAGTTGTTCAGACTAGTTGCTCTGTTCGGATCCATAGCGGGCAATTCATAGTTTTGAGTTTGCTTGTTTGTGTGTCCCTGTGTTCCATTCAGGCCTCCTTTCCATGGGTAGCATTCAGGATAGGGGTAGAGGAAACATGGACACGTGGGGATACAAGTTATGAATTTGCCCTTTCGCTCAGGATGATAGCGGGAGAATGTCTACGGACCACAGTATAAAGCTTTCTACACCCTGCAACCTCAGCCCTGACCTCAGGGCATGCGGCATTCTCAACAGTCTGTGGGAGATCCTAGCTCACATAGCTCGCTCCGGAAGCGAGACGAGCTCGCAATGCTGTAGCCTTCACTCCTGGAGATGCTACCAGGTTCTGGAAGATAAAAATGCTACTTGTTTTGATGCCTGTTCGAATCACTGCATTTAATTTCCTATGGAGTATCCGATCATTTACATACAGCATCATGCAGCAACTCCCAACCCCTACAGGCCCTACATTGCATCTCCCCTACATCTCCAGCATCTCAAGCCAGGTCGTCCGTGATGCCTGGCACTTGGCTGGCGGGCCCTCGCCTCTGCCGCCGGCGTGCGGATGTCTTCAGGAGCTCCCAAGGCGACACAGAGGAGCAAAAAGGCCGTGAGGCTTTGGGCTGTCCAGCGGCATACGTGGTATACAGTGCAATGGATTGAGGTAGACAAGATGGGGTTCCAAGTAGGCCAACCAAGCGAATAGCTCAGAGTAGGGTATCCATGCAGTAGCTGCGAACAAAACTATCCAGAACCTTTCGCGATTTGGAGCCTTTTTCGGTTTTGGAGCTTTCAGGGGTCTGCAGACTTCGTGGGAGCCTTGCCTAGGAAGAGCTAGTCTTTACTTGTCCTTCGGACCTGGCTTCTGATTCTTTCAGGCTGTTCTGTACTACAAGAGCAACCCAGCAAGGGACCATAGCTTGCAGAATAACCAACATGCATTCAACACAGTTCTGCTTTACGTGCTGAGCTGAAACCGTGGGCGCATCTAAATCTTAAACAAATTTAGACACTAAGCCTCTAAAGAAAGCTTCGAACCCTAGACTCAACCATGCACCCGCAGACCCTAGCGCCTTCCTCCCTCAGCAGCGGACCAGACAGGGTGGGCCACTTCGGATACGTATGGAATTTCTCAAAGTTGTTGACGCTGTTTTGGGGTTCCTCGTGCAGGCTTTTTGCTCATCTACTCTGGCAGACAAAGCCCTGAACCTCTCCCCGCTTGTTTTCGTCGTGCTCATCATGATTCTAGCCTCCCAACCTTGCCCCTCACCACCCCGGATAGCCACACCCCAAAATCAGATTCCGCAGCGTGAACCTGAGATCCTTGCAAAACTCTTGCTGTGGAAACCCATGCAGGATTCAATCGGGGTCTCTTTATGGGGTCCTTCCGTTTTATGCCCTTTAGACACATATCCCCAAAGTTATTCCGGTGTTTGGGGCCTTCTGTCCAGCATGGTTCTCGGCAAGTGTTGGAACCAAACCGGCGCTGCTGCAGCTAGTGCTCTGGCAAAGGACACATGCAGTCCATGGCAATAGCTAGCAAGACCTCTATAGACCCTGACCTGCGTATGCTGGACTGTTTTTGCTAACGGGTGTGTACCAGGTTCATATTGAACCGAACTCCAATCACCCACATTCCAGCAGCGAAGTGAAGCGGGCGATCGCAGGTATGTAAGGAAGTTACACGAACAGCACTCTCGCAGTGTCGCAGCACCTGCCGGCATGAGCCGGACCACACAGGCCCAGGCCGTACATGTTGAGTGTATTCAGGCGAACCAGCTTGACTGCATCCAGCTGCCCCTGCATGTAAAGTCGGAGATTCTGAAGCGCGCTGTCGACGTTGCACTACAGTATAACACGCATGAAGGGAAACCAACAGGCTGCATCCTAATTCTTGGAGACCCTGAGCTACAGGCAGATTGTGTCCGGATGGCGCTTGAGCCACGCAGTCTTGCCAAGAACAGGGTCAGCATTTTGCATGGAGAGGTTGAAGGTGCATTGCGTGAGGCTTTTTCAGATGATGGAGCCATTCTGATCAGTGGCTACGATGGCGTGGTGGTGGATACCAGGTTGACATTTTTTCCAGAACCCTGCTGCTCTCTGATCATGGAGGGGCATGGTACACGGCATCATCAGTCGCTGCATGTTGCTGCCAGCAAGAGCTGTGTTGTTGTCACTCGCTCTCAAGATGGCTACGTTACTGTGTTCTCGTCGGAACACCTGCACTGTGATCATCGAAAAGCCTTCCGGGTAGAGGGTGGTGACGGACGGGGACCACACCGAGACCGAGTCATTATGACCCGCACTCCGCTTGTGAGTTTTGAATCTGCCAAGGGTGGTGCTGGGAAAATGGGTTTATCACAAACAGCCTTGAAAAGATTGAGAAAGCTCCCTCCCCCTCTAAGGGTTGCTGCTTTTGTGGGGCCTGGGCGAACAGGCAAGTCAACTCTTGCGGGACAGGTTGCCGGCGATAGGTCTCTGTTTCCAACTGCGAAGACACCAGCGGCGGTCACACCAGGAATCAATGCTGCTGCGATAGAGCACCCAGAAGAGGGCACGTTGCTGCTGCTAGACTGTGAGGGCTTTGACAACCCACTGGCCCCGTCAAGGACAGAAATAGCTACGCTTTGCTTTTGCATTTGTAGCATGATTGTAAGTGTAGAGTATGATCGGCTGGATGACAGACAGCTCCAGAGCCTGGCTAGATTGAGTGCCTACAGAGAGGTTCTGTTTCCACGCAATTGCGAAGCGGCTGGCGAAGTTCATTCAGATTCAACCGATCTTGTGCTAGTTGTAAACGGAAGTCGCTTCCACAGTTCTGACTATTACGGGCCGCAAGCACTTGAGGAGGTGCTCTCAGCAGATGATGGGAACATGGAGCGACGAGGAAACCTGGAAGCAGTGCGACGGCACTTTCCTCGCCGTGCCTTCATCTCGATTCCCACTATGGATGCAGCAGACTATGCAAACTGCGTTGTCAAGCTGCAGAAAATGGTGTTCGGGAGTTCTCCGCTCACGTTTGCCATCGATGGTCACATGTTGTGCAAGTTTCTGATCCGGACCATCAACGACATCAACGCCGGAGGGTCCATTCACCGCGAGACATATATCGCGCAGTTCTTGAAGATCATCAAATGCAATGCGTGGAAGAGTTGCTGTGGCAGTTCAAGCGGGAGCTGCCGCTGCATGCTGAGTATCGTCCTCACCTCAGCTTTAACCCGCAGAGTGCCATGCAACGTGCTGACCACGAGAACCTCACAAAAGAGCTAATGGCAGAACTACAGACAAAGTTGCGGAATCACTATGACCGCGTCAAGGTGGAGAATGACAAGAAAGGGGAACAGTTCACCGGCAAAGTGCGGCCGAAGACCCGCAAACGTATAGTAGCCACAACCCAGCTTGTCCCTTTGCATCAACGCATGTTGACGGGAGGTGCTCTCGGTGGCGGTACAGGGGCCGCCGCTGGCGCGGTAGCTATCCCGCTTGCACCTGTTTTAGCCCCTGTCGCTGCAGTTTTTGGGGCACTTGTTGGTGGCACTGCAGCCCTCACCACAAGTTCAAGGCAGTATAAGGTACGCACAAAAGTCGTCAAGGAGCGCCGTGTGGTTCCATACAAAGTCAATGGCGAGAAGGTCGCTGGCAAGTGGGAGCATTACGATACATACGAACGAGAGAAGCTTGTAGATGAACGAGACGTACACGCAGGGAACATCACGTCACCGCTTTCTTCCGATACGGATGGGGGTTCTTCCGATA